AAGATTGACAGCCTTGGAGACCCTGTGGGCAGTTCCACTCTGTCCTCTAGGGGCGCTGTGGGTCAGAATGGACTCCACGGCAGTAGGTGTGGTTTGGGCTTTGCTTCTGTGAGGACTGACAGCCCCAGTCGTGCCGACAGCTCACGTTGTTGTGTCCTGACCCCACTGGAGATGAGGAAGTGGCTGACACAGTTAGCACCGTGCTTGCGGCTCAGGTCCCGGTGACTGGCACCGACGCCTGTGGACAGTGCTGACCTTCATGGTGCTAAAGCATGTGGTGACTCAGTGCTGCTGTTTCTCGCAGGTGACTACCCGGCCCCAAGAGCCGTCCTGACCGGCCACGACCACGAGGTCGTCTGCGTGTCCGTGTGTGCGGAGCTGGGACTCGTCATCAGTGGTGCTAAAGGTCAGCAGCCATTTCCTTCATTTCGGATCTCTCCAAAGGTACCCTCGAGACTCAGCCACCGCCCCTGTTTCCCTGGAGCCACAGGAAGAAGGAGAGAGAGGCAAGATGGGGCGAGGACGTGGCTGGGCGGCCGAGGTCTCGTTCACAACTGCCTCCTTTGCCGGAGGAACTGGATGGTTCCTGGTTCCTGAAGATGTTGATCAAAGATTCCATAGCAGAATCCTGATCAAAAGGGGGGAAACGCAGGACAGAATTTCAAATTATCACGTGGACTCTAGACTTTCTGGAGCCATGGAGGGTGGATGAGGCCCTGAAACTAGTGCCCTATGATACTCTTTAAACCTTAAACCAAAAATGTCCCCTAAAGTCTTGTTAAAACTGAGCGATAGGTTAGGTGAGTGTGCTGGTTCCCTGGTGCCCCTTTGCCAGGAATATACCACAAATGGGGTGGCGGCCTTAACAAGCAGGAGTTTATTCTTACAATTTGGAGGCTTTAAGTCTGAGTTCAAAGTGCCAGGCCCTAGGGGCTAGGTGAAAGCCCCTCAGCCTCAGGGTCCAGCTCTGCCTCCTGCCCCCAGCCCACTGGAGCTAGAGGCGTTTCTTCACTCAAGACAGCTGCTGCCTGCTGAGCCCGACAAGCCCCAAGGTTGACAAGTCAAAAGGCACAGTCCCGATGTTACCAAACCACACGGCAGGCCGTTAACTCAAGTCCATTGTAAGTCCCAAGGTCGGCAGAGCATGGCAGGCTGCTGAGCAATGACACGGCTACATGCAGGGTCCAAGCGTGTCATAGGCTAAAGACCATTCCCAAGGCTTCTCCTTAAATACAGGAAGCAGACCACATCCCAAAGGCAGCCACTCAGCTGCTCACAGTAGATTCCACCATGGAGCTGGTTGCCAGTCTCATCACGGGGAACAACTACCACCAGGTGCCCAGCCACTCACCCAGGCCCAGCCAGGTTGACGCACAAACATAACCACCACAGTGAGGTAGTGAGAAAGGTGTCCCCTGAGCCTGTGTTCCTGTAAGAACGTTTCTATGGGATCGAGTGGACAACAGCCACTCAGAAGGTTCGACAGGAAGCTTGGGGCAGGGAGGTCACGTTCATGGCAGGAACAGCTGAGGGGAGGGTGAGGGGTCTCAACTTGAAGTGTCATCGGGGACAGTGAAGCGTCCATGTGGAGACCGATGGCACGGTGGGTGCTTTGCTGTGTAAATTCTCTGTGACAACAAAACTCGGGAAAAACGCACCAGTGCGTCAGGCTAACCATGGTTCATGATTGACTGTCCTAGGAAGCTCTCCAAACATAGATGGGGTCCCTAGGTTCTTAGCAGCTGTTTCATTCTATTGTCAATATTTACTACTAACTAATAGGCACTACTAACTAATAGGCGCTGAGGGAGCTCTGGTAGCATAGTGGCTAAGACACTTGCCTGCTAACCAGACGGCTGGCGGTTCAAACCCACCAGCCACTCCTCAGAAGGAAGGTTGGGCAATCCTACTTCCGTAGTGATACTGCCTCGGAAACCCAAGGAGGGGTCGCTATGAGTCGGGGCCGACTTGACGGCACATAACAACAACAATAGGCACTGTGAATAAAATTAGATGTAGAATTTTGTGGTCATTGTAGCCAGAATCCGGGGCATTTCTGTTGCAGTGCTGCATGTCCATCAGATGCAGCCATTAAAAACATCTTAAAAGACAAGAGGAAAATATCCACGAAGCACAGGGGCTGTGGGGAAAGTTTCTTGATACACGCAGTTGTCAGGACACGGTGGGGTGTGGGACAGGTTCTCGTAGTACAGTCATCGGGACGCAGTGGGGGCTGTGGGACAGGTTCTCGTAGGTACAGTCATCGGGATGCGATGGGGTGCAGGACAGGTTCTCGTAGTACAGTCATTGGGACGCGGTGGGGGCTGTGGGACAGGTCCTCGTAGGTACAGTCATCGGGACGCGGTGGGCCGTGGGACAGGTCCTCGTAGGTACAGTCATCGGGA